CCCCCCCGACCTCTGAACACATTCCAGAACCACCTGTAGAGCTTCATGTGAGAGGAGGCGGGGCTTGGATCACCGCTGCAGAGAGACGACCCGACAGAATCATTGGGCTTTTCCTGCGAATACAAACACAAAAAGTTGGATTAATTTCAGATTCAGCGTGCCAAAAAATGAATTTAAAGGTTTAAGAGAAAACGACTGAAACGGGTGGTCTCTCTGCAAACCCCGCCCTCTGCAGCCTCTCCCACCCAAGTATCCACCACTTCCTGTTTGTACCGGGGTCGTCACGCGGCGAGACGGGCTTTTATTTTGCTAACACTACATTACTTTTATCTCCTGTTTGAGTTTCCAGGTTGTGTGCTGAGCTTCTTTGTGTCTTATAAAGTTCTCAATATATAAAAAAAATATGGCTTTGTACCTTCCAGACTCTGGCCCCGCCCCCTTTCCCCCCTCTACCCTGACGGGTCACCAGAACCAGCGCTGCAGACTGAAACAAACTGCTGCTCCCACCTCAGAGGAGCTTTTATGATTTTATTTGAGTTTTTAAACCAAATGAAACAAACCTGCGACGCTTCGTTCGGACGTTTGAAGCACTTCCTGTTTGAGAATAAAGATGGCGTCCTGATGGAGCTGGAGGCGCGACCAGGAGAACCCGTCGGAAACACTTTTTTTTTTCTTCTTTTTTTTAAATCAAGGCCTGTTTTTGTGTGAACGACTAGTGCTGGCTGCGCACATTGTTCTGCCGCCTCTTCGGCTTCTGCAGTTTTGTTTTTTTTTTTTAATATTCATCTCCGTTCTGTCAGGAACTGAACCGAAACAGGAAGTAGAATTCCTGGCAGGACGGGAGAGGGAAACGCTGTCGCTTTCACATCCACAGAAGAAGAAACTGTTCCGCAAAACGAACTCCAGCCAACCAGGAGAGGAGGTGGGCGTGGCCAGACGGTACAGGGCGTCGGCTCTGAGAACGAGTCGTTTGACTTTCAGCTCCAGCTGGGATTTATTATTATTTTTATTTTTTATTATTTTATTTTTTTCTGGGTGCAGTTAGATGATGTTCCCTTTGTTACCATGGTTAACAGGCAGCAACGGCAGACCCTGAAAAAAGACAGATTATGTTTATCTGACCTAAGCCCCGCCCCCACGAGGTTCTGCAGCGCTTCCTGTTTGATTTAAACTCATTAATTTTACTTTTTATTTTAGCCAAAGTTCACGACCTTCCGTCGGGGGGTGCGGGGGGGGTTCAAATGTGACATTAAAAACATTATATATTTCTTTTTATTATTATTATTATTATTATTATTACTATTATTCTGAGATTAAAGTCAAATATTACAAGATTAAAGTCGGAATTTTATGAGAATAAGATCATAATATAATAACTATAACATCTTTAACTTTAATCTCGAAACATTACGACTTTATTCTCATAATATTATGACTTTATTCTCATAATTTACAGCAAATGTTGTGTGGCCCTATTCTCTGTCATAGTACATTGTACATATTATACGATTTGTTTTACTAACTTTACTGTTATTGTTGTTATTTCTGCTAATGCTAAATTTAGCTTAGTCTTTTTTCTACTTTTAGCTTTTAGTTAGCATTTAGCTATTTTTGGCATGTGTTTGGCTACTGTTAGCTTTCAGTGAACAATTTGTTACCTTTTATGTAGCAGCTAGCATTTGGCTACGTGTAGCTTCCGGCTCCAGCTTCTTCAGCTCATTTCAGCAAAATTAATAAACCCTTTATGATAAAACTACAAAAAAAAGGATGAATATATTTTTATGTTTTCTGACTGAGTAAAACTATTTATAGCTTTGATCAAATTTTAATTTTTAAAGGTTTTGTGTTGTAAAACCAATGTTGTGATTTTTTAACTTTAGTCTCATTCTGATAAAATAATCGATGATTTCTTCAGAGCTTCCAGGTCGACTCGGATGTTTTGTCGTAGACAGAAATGTGCCGAACTCAGAGACGTTTTGTCAAAATGAATTTAGAGATTTGTGTTGTTTTGTTGTTTTGCTTTGATACATTAATATATATGAATTCATGTTTGTGTTTCAGGGTTGTCAGGGGAACAGTGTGTGTGTGTGTGTGTGTGTGTGTGTGTGTGTGTGTGTGTGTGTGTGTGTGTGTGTGTGTGTGTGTGTGTGT